CCGCGGGCACTCGGGGGAACGCGAACACACAATGCCACGGAGGGAGCAGCTCCCTTCGCCCTTCGGCCACTTCACGGAGCGGTGCGGGCGCTCAGCGGCTCCCGGCGAGGGGAACCGCGCCTCTGTCCGGAGCCGAGAGGGGAAGAGCCGCCCGGCAGGGCAGCGCTCAGCACCGGCCGACGCAGCCCGGACTCGGGGGAGCCGCAGAGCGGGGCTGCTCCGCCAGCACGGTGACAGCGGGGGCGGCTCGGGAGCAGGCTGCCCCCATCCCCACCGCTTCCCAAAGCCGGCGGTGCCGGGATCCCCGCAGCCTTTGTCTTCTCCCGGTGAAAGTGCCCCCGTACCTAAGAAGCAAAGGGAAAGCGGCTCAGCGGAGCGGCCCCCCGGTGCTTACCTGTGCTCGGCTGCCGGTGGGCAGAGCAGGGCAGGGCTGTGCCGGGGTACGGGTGTGCGGACCGAGGAGGACGAGGAAAAGGAGAAGGAGGAGGAGGAGACGCGCGGAGGCAGTGGGGGAATGCGCGGCCGGAGCGGGGACGCCGGGACCCCGCGGGCTGCGGGGCGGTGGGAGGGGCGCGGGGTGCCCGGGGCGGGGACGCGCGGAGCGCTGCGGGGGTGCGCGGCTGTGCCCGGGGCATCGTGCGGAGAGGGGGGAGATTGAGAGGGAGAGCCGACAAAGGCGGGGACAAAGGCGGGGGGACCCCGCAACCCGCGCGGCGGAGACACCGCGGCTGCAGCCGGGACCCCGCGGGGAAAGCGGGCGGCGAACCGCGCGGCAGCGGCAGGGCGCGGTCCTCCCGCCGCAAGGGGGCGCTACGGCCGAGGTGACGTCACACGCCTGCGCCGCCAACAGCGCCGGGCCGGGAGAGCTGCGGTACGGGAGCGGTAACGGCGGTGCGCGGCTGAGAGCGGCGTGATGGGGGCGCGGAGGGGCGCGGCGAGCGGGCTGTGCTGAACGTGAGGCGGCCCGGGGGGAAGGAGGTTGGAGGCAGCCCTCGCTGTGTCGGCATGGCGGGGCCGTTCCTCCGTCCTCAGCTCTGGCGGGAGGCTGCGGAGAGCTGGGCTCGGCTCTGCTCCGGGTCGCAGCGACGACGGGCCAGAGAGTGCGGCCTTAAATTGCAGCACGGGAGGTGCAGGGTGGATGTTAGGGAAGGTCTGCGCTCAGAAGGAGCAGGGATGTGCTGGCACAGCCGCACAGGGAGCGGTGGGGTCACCGTGCATGGTGGTGTTCAGTGAGATGAGGCACTGAGGGATGTGGGCACGGTGGGTTGGGTTGGACTGGATGATCACAGAGCTCTTTTCCAGCCTTAATGCTTCTAAGATTTTGCTTAGAGAAAGATAGAAGCTGTTACCTCCCTATTTTGTGAAATAATTCATTAGAGATCTGAAAACCACGTCTCCTTGCAGCTGGAGCAGCTTGGCAGTCGGTAACTAAGCAGCTGATAGGAGCAAGCAGGGCTTGAGAGCTCCGTGTAAGGCATCTGTGTTCCTGGTGGAGCTGGAGGCATTTAAGAACACGTCAGTGGTGGTCTGCATGCACACAAAGAGGATGACAAAAATAATGAAACACTGAAACTTACAATCAGCAGTTCTGTATGTTGCAGCCTAAAATACACACGAGATACCGACCTGTTGGGATGCTGAGCTCCAGCTGCTTGATTCTTTGATACACAGTGCTCCATTTGGCCACTGAATGTGCTGCCCTTGTCACAGATTCCTGCAGGACAGATTCCACATTAGGTGAATGATCTGGTGGCTTGGGGTTTGTGAGGAGCAGGGGAGTATGTGGGATGTGGAGTCAGTGGGAAGTGTAAATCCTGCCCTGAACGAGAAGAGAAGCGCGCAGTGTGAGCAGTGAGACAGAACACGAAAAGATGCTGTCTTCATTTTTTGCACTACTGGTGATTTTTGATCACGAGCTTGAATCTGTCACAGTGAGCGCCTTGGGTTTGTGTACATGTGCTTGTCACTGAGCTCAGAGAGCAGCTTGTTGGCATCAGGGAGGTGAAGCGATCCCTCAGCTGTGTTAAGACCATAAAAGCCAGAGGATAAACATTCTTCTTGTGCTGCTTTTCAGGTTCTGGGCAAGATGACCACGCTCACACGACAGGACCTTAATTTTGGGCAAGGTAATGTGTTTGTGCTGCACTGAGAACTGGACGCCTGCAGGATGCTCCAGCCCTAAACTTCCCTCAGCTAGGAAGGAGACGAGATGTGTGCTGGTGTCTTTAAAAACGTCCTATGAATATGGTATTGCTCTGCAACCTTCAGCATCTTTTACTTCTGTTTTTCAGTTGTTGCAGATGTTCTTTCAGAATTTCTAGAAGTGGCCGTTCATCTCATCTTGTACGTTAGAGAAGTTTACCCTATTGGGATCTTTCAGAAGAGGAAAAAATACAACGTGCCCGTCCAGGTAGGAGACCTTCATGGAGGTCTCACAGCACGAGCAGATTGTGGCCGACAGTAGCAGAGTGCTTCCCCTGCTGCGTGCAGGATGTAACACAAAGGCAGGCTCCCTAGGAAATAGAGATCTTGTCTTTAGATCTCTCAGCGTTGTCCTGGTTGGCATCAGAACACAGCTCTGTTTGCTCTCTTTGCTACAGATGTCCTGCCACCCAGAGCTCAATCAGTACATCCAGGACACGTTGCACTGTGTAAAGCCACTGCTTGAGAAGGTATGATCTTACCATGGACCTGTGCTGGGCAAATGTACTGCAAGTGATTTAGATAGAAAATAAAAGAATGTAAATACTGCTCTCATCTCAAAATGTTTATTTATGTACTTGCCATACACAATATACTTGCTTTTAAAGTTACTAATGGAGAATAAAAACATTCTTAATTCTTCCTTGCAGTCAAGGCATGCTGCTGAACGCTGGCATTCAGTTTGCTTCTAATGCATAAACATGAGGATCAGTCTCTGTATTTTCAATAAGCCCATCCTACACGTGAACTTAAATGTGTTCAAAAGCAGAACGTTGAGTTGAAGCATCCATCTGGCAGGAGAACAGTTAAGAGTGCTGTGCTGTAAGCCAGAAAGCAAAGGTGGTTTGAACACAAGCTTTTATGAGAGAAAAGTGTGACCACACGTCACGTTGCAAACCTTGCTGCCACCCCACATCCTGCATTCTCTTCTCTCTGCAGACATCACACTGCATGTAGAACCTGGCAGTAGGACAGGGCTCAAGGTTTGGATAACTGCTGGCACTGCTCCACAGCAGATAAACGTACTCTACCAGAAGTGAAGCTAACTGGGGGCAGAAGACAGCTTGTTTTAAGGAAGGGCCTTCTCTAACTGCAGTTATTCTTCCAGAATGACGTGGAGAAAGTTGTAGTTGTAATCCTGGATAAAGAGCACCACCCAGTGGAGAGATTTGTCTTCGAAATCACCCAGCCGCCCCTGCTTTCCATTAGGTAAAGATTCCATTCCCATGCTTTCTCACAGCATCCAACCCCCGTGTCCTTAGAGATGTTCTGGAAGATGCTCCAGGCCCCCGTACTTTGCTTTGTGCCACTAACAACTGCTGTCTCAACAGTTCAGAGTCCTTGCTGTCCCACGTGGAGCAGTTACTGCGTGCCTTCATCCTGAAGATAAGCGTGTGTGATGCTGTGCTGGACAACAATCCCCCAGGTAAGCAGGTGCACACAGCCCAGTGACATGGATCTGTTCTGTGGGAGGTGATTACAGGCAGTGTCTGAGCCTCTGTTGGTCGTCCCCTGATCTGCAGCCTGCCCTTTCTCTTACAGGCTGCACCTTCACAGTTCTGGTTCACACACGAGAGGCGGCTACACGCAACATGGAGAAGATCCAGGTGATAAAGGTAAGTGGTATCTTTGGCTGCCTTGTCACAGGCAAGCTGCAAAGACTGGAATTGAAGAATTCTGGATTCAGTGAGGTTAAGGGCTGCTAGATGGCTAGCTTTTACATGATGCATTTCATGGCTTTGCTTTGAATGTGTTACAGTTTGCACTGGTGAGGTGACTGAGCACTTCTACCACACACCAGCTGCAGGCAGTAGCTGCTTTGATGCCTGAATTAGACTGTGCCAATACTTCCTGCACAGTGCCATCCCCATCACTTCACGTACTGACCTAGCACTGAGAAAGTGAGCTCACCTTCTGGGGCTGCTCACCCCTCTGTACATAAAGCTCCTTGTGTTCCTGCCCTAGGATTTCCCATGGATTCTTGCTGATGAACAGGATGTGCACATGCACGACCCCCGGCTTATCCCACTGAAAACTATGACTTCTGACATCTTAAAGGTGAGCAGAGCATTCTGGCCTGAGAGGTGGCTGAAACTACATGTAGTGTGAAGACTTCTCATATTAAAACAGGAAACCTTGTTAATGAGGGGAGGTGCAAACTCTTCAGACTGTTCTCCATCTGGCTATCAAGCAGAAACTGATACTTGTTTTGTCCTCCAGATGCAGCTTTATGTAGAAGAACGAGCCCACAAAGGCACCTGATTTCAACTCTTCCTTTTCTTCAAGCCTCATCAGATCTTCCAGCGGAGTAAGATCTCTCACCAACCATACCTTGATAGCCCAGCCTCCTCAGCTGGCCTTCTGGATGAATGTAGAGCAGCTGCTGCCTCTTTATTTCAAGTGCTCTTACCAGTGTATATAGAACTGACTTGGAATGTGGAGCCAGAGCCTGTTCCCATGTACACTCATGTGTGAGAGTGAGTAGAGGTTTCATTACAGTAATCCCTGGGGTAGGATACAGCTGACTGCGGTCGGCTCCTTGTACAAATCCAGTTCTTGCCTTAAACAGGACATCTCCATTGCACACTGGTAGTGCTAACCAGGGATCTGCTGTGTGCTCCACTAGAGCAATGGTCTGATACCATGCGCGAGTGAGGCCTTATGTAGCATCTGTCCACTGTGACTGTCCCAAGTAGTCTTCAATAAATATCAAGTTTTACTCCAGTTGAAACAGGCTCAGTTCTGTCCAAATCAACCGCGCTTTCAGTGAAGAAGCATTTTTATTGTATTTATTTGTATTTATTTGTAGAGTTTCCATCACCTTTTCATGTCTTCTCTAGGACAAGGCTGGGATGTGTCAGTTCCTATGAAGGGCTGTACCACCTTGGTCTCCCCTTGCCACAGGGAAACCTTCACACAAAAGCTGTTAGAAGCACAGTGGAATGTGTCTGTGCTGCAAGGACACTTGTCAGCTGTCTCACTCTTAGCAGATAGCAGACAAGGGAAAACACTGTTACCTGCCTCTGTCAAAGGAGATGGAAGAAGGCCTTAATATCAGCCCTGTGCATACAGGGGTAGAAGAAATGGTACACAGAATGTGAGCTGAGCTTGTTGGACAGAAAATTTGGTAACACAGCCAGCACAGCACCTGCCTGCTTTCTCCATGCAAAAAGTGCAAGAACACCACATCTCCAAGTTGTCTGTGGCTTTAACATTTTATATAAGGTTACTGTTCAGTACAAACCAAGTTCTTTGGTAGTACAATGGTAATATGGAAAAAGGCAGTGCAGTCCAAAGGCACTTAGGTTGTCAGGTATCCACCTTAAGGGATTCCTTCCTCCTCTTTGTTCATTCCAACAGTAACGGGCTGTATTTGGACAAGGAAGGCATCTACCACGTTGATCATGTATACTTACTAAGGAATTAAATATCAGTGACACAGCATATGAGGATAAAGAAGACTGAAGGTGGCATAATGCTGTGAAAGATACATCTTTATGCACGTAATTAAACTGAAACAGGAAAATACCATAGTATTACAGTCTGTCTGTAGCACAGTCCTCGAGACAAGGGTTGATAATCCGAACTGAAAGATTTTAGCCTTGTTTTCATTAAGTTGTATAAACAAGAAAGAGTTTCCAGTTAAGACTGCTATGTACTTGTGCTACAGCCAAATGCTGTTCACTTTAGGTGTCATATTTAATTGCCCTCATCTTCCTCCTATGGAAGGGCACCAGGAATTGTCACTGCCACAGTGAGGGAGGACAGATGAAGACAGAAGTCTTTCCAGAGGGCTGGGCCTGCAGAAGTTCTGCTTGCAAACAAGGAGAGCTAGCTGCTCGTATTCCACATCAGCTGTGCAAGACAAAGCCAGGATATTCACCCAGAGAGTACAGGCAAATAAGTGCACCTAAGACCACCAGGTAACAGTCCTGAGGTAAAAGAAAACACTTATATTGTGTCTTCATTTGCCTTCAATGTCTGTGGCCCAATGGTGATGCTGCTGTTTGTCACCCTGATCCCGTACCATCCGGCCCAGAATTGGGTATCTTGGCCTCCATGCTGAAACCAGATGTAACGAACTCCAGCTGGGTAATTGCTGAAAGTGTGGGAAATCTGTAGAGAAAGGAAATTCTGCTTATTTTGTCTCAATAATCCAGCAGTGACATTGAAGGTGAAACAATTCCAGGTATAGAGCCCTGGGCTTAGGAGAAGCTCATTCTAAAATACCTTCCAATAAAAGTATGCATCACATCACTTTCTTTGAGGAAGGATAAAATAAAATAGCCTCCCATATTTGACTCATAGGATTACAGGGCAGAAGGGTAAACATAATTTAAGCTTGGTACGTGACAGAGGTAACAACATAAAAGGGAGTGTACAGCCACTCAAACCAAGCCATTCAAACCAGTCAAAACAAACAAATTAGGAAAAGTAATGTCTGCAATACTTTCACTTACACCCATGCAGGTGTTTTAAAACAAAGCTTTTTGATCCAACATAAACAAGAACTGTGCTCCTGCAACTCGGTTACTTGGACAAAAACTCAAATAAAGAACAGAAACACTTGAAGAAGCCCAGTCAAAATAGCACAGGGGCCCGGGGGGGGGAATCCCACACACCTACAAACTGAACCTAGATCTTTCAATGTAACCTAGATCTTTCTTCTTCAATGTTGTCAACAGTGAGGACTGGCTTACGTTTTGTCTTATGTTAGAGCAACTTGGAGCTTTAGACAAGATTCTTATCACAATGTGGATGTAAATCTGCCTCCTGGAGTGCTGCTCCTTACCTCTCTCCACATTGCGTCACTCCACTGCTCTATGACCACTGGCTCAGGACAGAACTCCTCAAGCACAATGTAGTTTTCAGAAAGCAGCCTCACTCTGAGCTCATAGCGACAACCACAGTCAAATCTGGCAGCATACCTAGAGAGCAAGGGAGAAATCAAGGAGGAGGGCTGTACACACAGCATTGTTTTCCTTACTGTCCAGAAACAGTCTCCAACTGGAACTGAGGAAAGGGATGTCACCCCCATAGCTATGGAGAGCACAGCTATATTTTCTTCACAGGATTGCCACCTTATAGTCCACTGAATAAACCAAGATTTAGCCTAAGCTTTACTGAAGAGCTACAGATCCCAAAGAATTAATGTTATAGCACAAAAAGCTTCAAAGGCCCAGCTTACACCGAGGTCCTAATGCTAGAAATTCTAGTATTCAGTTCTTACCAGTCCTTGACTACAATTTCAGGCCGTTTCTCATCCATCAGCTCATTCCAGTACCCTTCTTCCTGCAGGGTAATCAGTTGAGACTTGAAGCATGGCCTGCAACAGAAACAGAAGCATTCAAAAGCATCTCTCAACATCAGTGCTTTCCCTACCAGACTGACGCTCACTGAATGCTCACCCAGACCCTGAGTACCCACGAGGCTGACAGGGCTGAGGTGTGCCTTTATCCAAAGTTCGAGCAGAAATAAACTGCTCAGCTTCACCCCAGATAAAAGGAATCCAACAGAGTGGATCAAGAAGGGTTCCTATGCACACATGACAGATATTGATTATGGAAAAGCAGTTGATCTTCCACTGTTGATGGCTTTTAGTGCGAGCTGTTTGCATGACAAACACCTCATGCTTCCAGAGGTTAAAGCTTTGACTTCGTCAGGTGAAGATATCTGATCAGTCTGCCAGACCTCAACTTCTGTCCACCACATTTAGTAGAAGAATGGAGAAATTCAGCACACGATGTGATTCACTTCTGCAACACATTGCTCTCTTTAGATTGAGGAGTATTAAGAATTAAAATCTTTTTTTCCCCTCTCTCTGGGATAAGGCTCCTTGTCCTGCCTCGCCCCTAACCACAGTGCTCCTGCAGCCAGTAAAAAGGAAGCAGTTTTCCTCCAGTTGCACTTTGCAGCTCTTACCCAAACGAAGTGACGAAGTATTTGTGGACTTCTGAGTCTGGCAGCTCTTTCCCCAGAGGTCCAGGCAGATCCTCAATCTTCCACTTATCTCCTCCATTCTGATCAAGTTTCCAGTGCGTAAAGTTCTCTAAAAAGATATCAAAGATCGGCATTAGGACTTCAATTTTCTGCAGCATCTCTGCTTTCCTTAAAGAGAGCTACTTATGCTGGTGAATTTTCAGCTGTGTTTCTCTTGTACTTAAGGGTGACCTTTAGCACCGTACTGTCATTACTTTCAGCGTGGCTGTCAGCAGCTGTGACAGAGCTGGGCACAGCACTGCAGGTGGGGACAGAGAAGGAGAGTTGCCCTCCCTGCCCATTGCCACCCCTCTGCTGATGCAGCCCAGGATGCAGTCGGCCTGAAACCAACTGCTGATGGTTTCACTGCTGTATTACATCTTGTGACTTACAGGGATTTAACCCAAACAGCATTACGCAGCGTTTCCTCGTGGATCTGACTCAGTGCCACAGCCCCAGTAATAGTGAGGCACTGCAGGGCACATCCCAACTGCTGGGAAACTCCATAGGCCCTCTACCAACAAACCAACCTTCGGCTCGGGGGTTTTTGATCAAGTTCCTCTTCAGCTTGCACAGCAGGTAGAACACCTTCCAGTCAGTGATGCTCCTGTCCAAGCTCTGCACGTAGAACCCCTCGCGTTGGCACTTGCGCTTCCAGAGGGTGGCGAGGTCCACCACGTCTCGCCATTGGGAGCACACCAGCCTGCACGCACGGAGCAGATCCCGGGCGGGCAGCAGGGACAGCAGCTCCACCAGCACATCCTCGGGGAGGTCACTGATGGTGGCCATGGCTGTGCAGAACCGACGGCAGACGGAGGGTTTCCAGGCAGCTGCGATACAGGGAGATCAGCAGGGGTTGCAGGGCTCAGAACGAAACCAAAAGCGGAGCTGTGCGCTGGGCAGGGGGGGAGGAGGGGCGAGCGGTCCTCGCTATCGCAGCCACAGCCCCACCTGCGCTCCGGACGCGGATGTGAGGCCGCGCTTCGCTCTTCCGCAGCGGGCGGGGCGCGGGGCGGGGAGCGGCGGGGGGGGACTGAGGGGAACCGGGAGCGACGCGGGGAGCGGCAGCAGCGGCGAGCACGAGGTAGGAGCGGCGGGATGGGGTGATGGGAGAGGGGATGGAGGAGAAGAGAGGAACGACAGCCCTGGGTGGGGTTACCCGAGGAGTTCTGCTGAGGGTCGATCGCATTTTGCCCTTTAAAATCGCAGCATGGAGGGGAAAAGGGGAGAGTGAGAAATCCTCGTTGTTTCTCCGTAAAAATAATAACAGGGATTTTTAAATGATGTTTTCCCTCTGATGGCTGCGGTACAGAGACAAGAGAGCTCGTGATGCCGTGTCCCTATTGCTTCCCTGCTTGCCCCACTCGCCGTGCCGTGTTTATGGCAGCAGCACGCCGGGATGCTCTGCCTGCCCTGCTCAGTGATTTTTCTCTCCCGCAGTTTCGCTCTGTGCGATTCAGTGCAGCTTCCCCGCTTCAGCGCACGGCTGAGACAAAAGCGGTGTCAGTGCGTCCCGCTCTCTGTGCACGGCGCTCCTCTCTCCCCCGCTCTGCAGCACTCTGCCCCGAAGCCCGCAGCGCTCAGCGCGCCCATTGATCGCGCTGCCGCCTGACTGCGGTTATCGGGCCGTAGGAAAAGGAAGATTTGAAGCGCTCAGACCCGTGCTTTACGCGGCATCGTGACTAAGGAGATTCAGTGCTAACCCCGAGGGAAGAAAGGCCTTCCAACAGCCAGGCCCGAGTGCAGCCTAAGCAGAGGGGACCGATTCTGTGCTGACAGAGCACATCTATTCTTAGGTTAATTGTTATTTGTTTTAAGTTTATTCCAGTAGCTGATGCGTGGACAAGTACCAGCGTTCCCCAGCTGCCTGACAGCAGAAATTTGTCTGGTCCTGGATAGTCCTCCTCTATGGCCTTGGAACCAAAAAAGCATCAGTGCAAAATGGGAATAACAATGTCCTTAGATGATGTGTGACCAAAAACAAGGGGAGTGCTCCCCACATGACCACCAAGGGTCAGAGAAGACCCCATACAACCCTATGCAAGCACAGATGGGCAGGAAAGCAGCCAGAAGATGTTGGAGCATCATGCTTGTTTAACCCAAAGCATCTGCAGGCACTTAGGACCTTAATCTACTCATGTGGTTCAGGGTAGTGAGCTAGCTAGGGGTCCTGAGGCCCTCAGGTCAGAAATACCCCCCGTTATCCTGCACCTGCCTTTTAGATAAACATATTTGTTTTCCCTTTTCTTTTTTTCTAATGAGTTTGACATCATTAGTAACAGGAGAGCCCCTTCTGGGGGAACAGTGCATTACCACTTCTTCCCCCCTTTCTCAGAAAGCTCCATCCAGGGGACCAAGGATGGAGTCCCTCCCTGAAGCAGTGCTGATCAGAATCCTGGCTTCCATACCTGCGGTGGATCTGGTGCTGGCGTGCCGCCTGGTCTGCTGCCAGTGGAAGAACCTGATTGACGGAGCAGCTCTTTGGATCCTGAAGTGTCAGCAGGAAGGCTTCGCTGGAGCTGAGTCAGAGGAGAATGCGGAGAACTGGCAAAACTTCTACTTCTTGAGTAAGAGAAGAAGAAATCTCATCAAGAACCCCTGTGGTGAAGGTGAGAGATGAGCATAACAAGGCCCAAGCCTTCAGAAAACTGGGCACCTCCAGTCTTTAAAAAAGACCTTGGTTGCCATCAGGATGCATTTTCTTTTTGCCCCAGAGACAAATCACTTCATGCATGCAGCCAAACCATTTACTGGGCAAGAAGGCCTTCCATCAAAGCAGCCTTTGTGAAGGGCTCTCCATGACATCAGCTTTATGTGACCCCTGCAGGAATGTGAACCATGCTTTGCAGAACTGTACTGGTAGGTGGCACCTGGGCTTCCAGATGGCTTTTTGCCAAAGCTCAACCTAAAAGATAAGCCTTCCCCTGCTCAGGAACTCATTTGCTCTTAGCTCAGCAGGCATTTCATGCTTCCTTCCTTGCAGTTTGTTTGTGTCTTGCTTATTCCAACCCATATCACTGAGCTGTGCACACTGCAACACTTGCTGTTATTTTATGATCTCTGAACTCTACTTGCCATCTGCAGGATGTTTAGATAGCAGCAGCCTCATAACCCAAGCCTCATAACCCAAGCAGCAACACAATACATTTCACACCTCATAGACCAAAGCACAACACAGACCAACAACACGTTTTCGTTTTTCTTATTTAAAAGGAAGTGATTTTTCTGCAAGCTCTTCTCTCAGGCTAAGAGGAGAACAACAGTGTAAGGCCCTGCAGCTTCTTGCTGTACAAGCATTTAACTATGTGCTAAAAGCTTTGAGAACACCACCAGGGAGAATAGAAAATGAGGGATTTAATATGAGTTATTTTTCAACAAAAAGAATGAAACAAAGGAAAAAAAATAATCAGGGAATCAGCAGTTCTCCCCAGGTATTTCTATAATAAGACACAGAAGCACTGAGGTGGAACACCGAAACCATTTCACTACTCTTTCTTAAAGTAGACCCACAAAGACACAACCATTTCAATGGGGAATGCTGACATTTGTTACCATTCAACCTAAATAAAGTGTTGCTTTTTGCCATGCCTCCACTTAAAACATCTCATTGTGTGATCCACATGCAGACTTGGACGGCAGTGTGTCTGTTCCAAGCTGCAGAGGGGTCCCTATGGGAGATGACTGGGCTCTCCAGGCCCACAAGCTATGACCAAACATTCTTTCTTCCATTTGCAGAAGACCTGCAGCACTGGGGAGAGGTAGAGAATGGAGGTGATGGCTGGAAAATTGAAGAGCTCCCTGGGGACTTTGGAAAGGAATTCCCTAGTGAAGATGTGCATAAATACTTTGTTACATCTTATGAGTAAGGCTGCTCATTTCTCTTAATCAGGAGAGAGGATAATTTTGTTTTCTCCAGCCTCAGAGAGCTGGTGGTATCCATTACCCTCTTATGTTTCAGGTGGTGTCGAAAGTCTCAGGTCATCGACCTTAGAGCCGAGGGCTACTGGGAAGAGCTGATGGATACAACCCAGCCAAAAGTTGTGGTGAAAGACTGGTAAGTAGCAAGGATGCCCTACAAGTCCAGCAGAAGGCCTAGAGAGAGCAGGAATGGTGTACACCAGGCTTGGAGCTGTAGCTCTCATCTCACTGCGTCGCCTTTGGTGTCATTATAGATGTGAGACAGGGCTTGATCTTGACTCAAAGAACTGCTGGTAGTCTCCCCAGTCATCACCCAAGCTGTTGGTGCATATGGCAGCCATCTAAAGCTCTTCTGGTGAATGAGGGCAGGCAGTGGGTTGGAGTAGAAGTGTTCATCCAGGCAAGGCTGCTGCTTGGGGCTCCCTGCAGGTACGCGGGACGCAGCGACGCCGGCTGCCTCTATGAGCTGTGTGTGAAACTGCTGTCAGAGAACGAGGACGTGTTGGCCGAGTACAAGACGGAGACCATTGCCATCCCAGAGGACAACGACGCCAGCTGGACTGAGGTGAGTGACAGCTGTGGTTTCATGCAGGTGACACTCAACCTGCACGAACCAGGAGTGTTTTCAAGCAGACAGAAGCAGGAGGGGTTATTCTGGAGGAAGAGAAGGTTCTATCATGGGTTGTGATTGAACACAGGGGTTATACAGCAAGCCTTACATAAAACTTGGAAGCTTGCTGAGACATCACTACAAGTCTGTGGGACTACAGGAGAGACCCCTCTGGAAGCATTTGATGGCTTCTGAACAGACTGGGGTCAAAGCTCCTTCCAGTAACTTCTTTCTCACTGTAACTGTCCTCATTGCTACCCAAGCTGGTAGGTTGGATGGGGCAGGTGGAGCTGAAGGCCCAGTGCAGGTAAGGAGTGGGTTCACGGTAGCTTGACACTATTTTGTCTCTCTCAACCTCTAGATCTCCTACACCTTTTCTGACTATGGTCCTGGGGTCCGCTTTGTCCGCTTTGAGCACGGAGGCCAGGACACACTGTTCTGGAAAGGATGGTATGGTGTACGTGTTACCAACAGCAGCGTGACAGTGGAACCATAGTCAAGCTGAACAGGGGCCTGCTTGCCAGAGCTGACTTCCCTCAGGCCATCCCATGTGCTCTGGATGGATTCTGCATGGTGCTGCTTCTGGGCTGTAGAGCATACAGCTCAGGTATGAATGTGCTTGGCAGAGACCACCATCCTTCTCTCCTTAAGGGTACTATGCAAAGAATAGCAACAGACTTATGAAACCACCTTACGCTCAGTCTCACCCTTTGCACTGGTGTTCTCTATCACATGAGATCACCTAGCACTGGAAAGGTATCACCCAGCTGCCAACCTCCTGCCCCCAGCCCCACGTGCCATTGCCTGCCTTACCTGAGCGTGGCTGCCAAGCAGTGCTCTGGATCTCCATTTCAGTTTTGGGTGATGATAATGCCAAGCAATGGGGATTGGATCCCTTTGTCCTACAATGCTCTCAACATCCACTTGTAGGGGGAAGTGGTGGGAGCTGAATTCACTACGGTATCATTGTGGTCATTGGTTGATGGTTGGACTTGACGATCTTAGAGGTCTTTTCCAACTTTAATGATTCTACAGTTCTCCATGGGCATTCATTTGGCTCCTAAAAAGCAGCTGAGGATAATTGCTGGGAGAGAGACAAGGGCTTAGGGAAACAGAAGCAAATTGAGGAAGGGGCTCAGGAGCACAAATAACGCGTCTACCTGTATGCCTCCTGGCCTCTGCGTGCTTCATGCCAAACTAGTACTGCTCTTTGCAGGCAGGAGATCCACGCAATATTCTTCACACAGAAACCTGTCATTACCTCCATTTGATCTCAGTCCTTCCTGCCCACTACGTCTGCAGAAAGTACACATCTGCCTTTGCTGCAGATGCTTACTAAGACAGCACTTTGTATGTACGCCCACCAGTGCCTCTTGCTGTCACTCAGGGCAGTGAGCCACCATCCTGAACAGAGATATCTAAGCTTACCTGAGCCAAGCCTGTCCCCTGCTGCCTTGGGCACAGCTTTCCAAACCCCAGCCAAGCCAGAGTACGGGCAAACATAATAAAAGGAGCTGTATGTGGATCTTTGCTTGTGTGCTGAGTATTATTTCTTGTGCTGAAGCAGGGGAGAGCAGCAGCAGGCAGAGATATACTAAAAAGGTCATGGGAGTTCATGAAAGGCATGGAGAAGGTCCAGGAAGGCTCCTACAACACCCAGCTCTGACCCACAGGTATCTGCAAGTATAGCTCTGCTGTGAGCTCCGCTGTTCTGCACCAGAAGAGACCAGAACCGGTCAGCTCCTTCCATTACCTTGTACAGTCACACAATGACAGCACAGCTTTATTCAGCACAGCGTTTAGTGCAGCTGACCCCATTTCTAAGTTAATATTCAGCTCACTGCCAGAGCCCTGCCCCAAGGTCCTGGCATGTCCCCAAGCATCAGAGCAGTGAGGGGATCAATATACCAGGTTTGGATGCAATTGTTAAATTGAATCTTTCCTAAGCCATTGTGTTATAGTCAGGAAAAAGCCCAGGATTAAGCTTTCAGCTCCTGTGTCCCTTGAAAATACAGAGTAGGGCCACAGTCCCCACTTTAGGCTTATCTAGGCTGAACCACTCAATGCACACAGCTCCCTTACAAGAAATGCAGCTGTCAGGGTCTTTCCTTCCCCTGATGTTCACACTGATTGCTAGAGGCAGCCTGGCTGTGCTGACCTTCCCACTCAGTTTCAAGAGATGCTTCCCAAGACACTCCATGTTTCATTAAAGAAAACGGCTCTGCTCCAGAATCTGCAGAGCTGCCACTGACTCCTTGCACTCAGTGCTAGAGCTACAAGGCAAGTAAGGAAAGTGGGTGCCTATGTACTTGGAAAATAATCTCACTTGCTTGATCCATTGCAAATATTTTACTCCTAATGCCTTTTGGTCAAACACATGAAGTGTGAATGCACTGAAATCTGCACTGCATTCATCCATCCCACTCAGCTTCTGTCCAAGGCTGAACAGAGCACAGGAGCTGAACAGCCTCTCACGCACCACAGACTTCATGGGAATGAAGACCGTGCAGCTTCATAGGACTAAAGAAAGTACAGCTGTGACAAAACAGCTCAGCTGCATTAATGCCTTCTGCCACTAAAGGGCTCTATCACATGTAGCTTCAGTGACCAAGGGAAGGTTTCTAATGCTGTCTGTTTTGCTGACCCTGGCTACTACACAGTAGATTTTGGGAATAGTGGTGAACAATGCAGACATGCAATATACCATACAAGAAAAAAATATATATTTCTACAGAAATAATTCACAGATACTTTATCAGCCAAGTATTCAGAAAGCTGAAGAAGAAAAAAAGAAAGGAAAACACACAGAAAGCTCTCCCTCCATTGATGAACACAGGAACCAAAGCTCAGAGCTTTTGGCAGCCAAGATGAATGAACACATCTCCAACCCTGGCTGCTTTACTGTTCAGAGGCACAAAGAGAAGCCCCAGTCACAGCACTGCACACAGGCCTTCCTGCTGTCAGCATCTCACGTCCTGGCTAGCCTGCTGCACCTTGTTGTCAGTAATTTTCTATCCCACAAAGCCCACCACAGCCAGTCCTGGCTGTAAATACCATTATACTTAAAAATGGTGGCTGTTTTGTTCCTCCAAAATAGCTTCTGCATTTGGTGTCTTGCAGAGGAACAGAAAAGAGCAAGACAGGGCCCTGGCAAGGAAGCACTAACATACATCTCTTGTCAAGTCTAATTGAATTTTTCTATAAGAAGCATCTATTATTACCCACCTGGGGAGGCTGTGGACAGATGGAGGAGTGTGCTCCCCCACCAGGCATTCAAAATTGTTTGAAGATGAGGGGAGGAGGAGAAAAACAACTCCCTGTTGCTTGCAGCCCAGCTGTTCTAGCCAGTTTAAAAGGGAGGATAATTTAGGAGATTGATTCCCCCTAAATCAAATACTTTGTAGAGGCTGGGAATGTTCCTTCCTGAAAGCCATGATAGTGGAGTACAGAGCTTTTGGCCTGAAGCTGCAGCAGAGCCGAACACAACCCCAAATAGGATGGGAGGCCAGCAGCCTTGTATTTGGCCCACAAGGCTGTCAGGAGTAGAGATGTTCCAAATAACCAGCTAACACTGAGCTTGTGAACAAACATCCCCACAGCTCACATCTCTTCCTGCAGCCCAGATACAGCCATAGGGTGAGAGGGAATGGCCTCAAGTTGCACCAGGGGAGGTTCAGGTTCAATTTTAGGAAAAACTTCTCTGAAAGAATGGCTGGGCACTGGAAGAGGCTGCCCAGAGACGTGCTGGGGTCACCATTACAGGAGGCATGTAGGTGTGGTACTTAGGAATGCAGTTTACTGGGCAGTACAGGCAGCAGCTGGACAGTTGGACTGGACAGTCTTAGAGGTCTTTTCCAACCTTAATGATTCCATGACTCCCACTCCTTCCTTGCTGCCTCCCAACAAGCAGGTACCCTGGGGAGGAAGAGGTGAACAACTCCTCCATCCATCCAGCTGCTTTGTCCCCATGTTCTTGGGGCACTGCCCAGCCTGCTCAATGTCCCTGTTAGGAAAAAAAAGGGCTTCATGATGCTTTTCCACTGGAAAGGTGCAAATAAGAGAGAGAACATCCATAACGAATTCAACTGGGAAAAGCCCTGTGGGAGCTGGAAAGCATCACTGCTACACTGAACAGCTGCACAAGAGCTGAGCTCTGTGCACAGCAGCCTGGAAGGAAAACATACTCAGATAAACTAAAACAGTTTAAGAGAACATATATAGTTAATGTTGCTGTGCAAAGGGGGGAGATGGCAAAGGATCATAAAATAAAGCAAGCACACAAGCAGAGCCATGGTGACAGCAGAGGGCACTCGGGCTGCAGGCAGAGAGCTGGGAGCCAGCCTGACCTCAGGTGCTGCTGGCTGCTGCTCTGCAAGCAGGAGATATTCAGAATAACTACAAGTGTTTGGCTCTGCCTTGTACTCACTGTACCCATTTCTAATCACTACGCTGCACCTCTTCTTGTCTCAGCAGCGCAATGAGCTGTGGGACTGTCTGCATCCCCATCTACACTGTGCCCAGGCACTCTGATACCTTCCTTGCATGCAAAGTTCAACAGCCCTCCCCAGGAAGATGGGAGTCCCAGCTGTATTACACGTGCCCTTGGCTAACCTCCCTTGCAGGCACTTAGAGCAACTCATCTGGAGCTGCCACCAGTGCAAACCCATTAACTGCAGTGCAATCAGCATTCCCAGAAGGACAGAGAAACCACGATAAAGATGTAAGTGTGCTCACTGAACTGATAAACGGTGAGGAACACATCTCTTGCCACTCTGATCCTGCCAGATGGACCACTTTTACAAGGGCAGTGAACCATCCCTGCAGACACCCAAGGTCAGACAGGATGGGCCTTTAAGCACTGATGGAGCTGTGGGTGTCTGCTCTCTGCAGGGGGGCTGGCCCTGATGACCCTTAAAGGCCCCTTCCAACCCAAATGATTCTGTAGTTCTGGCTAATGGGACGGGTTTACGAGCACTCAGGTATGTGCACCGAAACACATCCACAGGTGTAGGCAAACACACAGGCAGATGTACATCCACAGCCATGCAGAACTTCAGAACCCAGCAATCTGGCCTCCCTGTGCTGCCAGGAACAGGCTGCCCTCAGACCATCACAGAGAACTGGCACAGCCTCTCACCTGGTCTTTGACCTCAAGGACCACACAGCACTTCCCTTTGGCTTCCCATAGGTCTTCTCCAGGCGTACACCACAGGTTGCTGTTGCATAAGATTTAGGAGACAAGAGCTGAAAGCATCAGCTCTGAGCTCACCACCCTGCAGAAAGCAGCTCGTGCTCCTAAGCGTGAAGCTGCTTTTCTGAGGAAGAGGGATGGTGTCAGAGCTCTGCTACTTGCAATCCTTCCAAAGGGTCCTGGAGTCAAGTGGAGCCATTTCCACCTCACCACCCACCGTGCAGCTCCTTCCGTTAATATTGACATGTGAAGCATTGCAAAACGAAGCAGATAAAATCCTGATCCAGATATGAGAAACGACTTTGCATTTTTTTGTAAATTAAACCTAATCTTGTGTTGACTCTGCTATACAAGGAGAAATAATGAAGCAGATTAAGACGAGATCTTGTTCACTCTAGCTGAACAAAAGCCAATTAATTGCCAGTAGGATTATTGTGAATTCTCTCTCGTCTTACACAAACACAATCAGATACAGTCTAGGTGCTGCTGGAGCAGCCCTGCTTATTGGAGCGATAACTCTGCCTGGACAGAGGAATACACAAAGGCTCAGTTAAACCACACAGGATTCTGCCTTGCTGTTTTCCCCAGTGACTCTTGCCAACTTGCAAAGGATGGAGATGCATTAAAAACGAACAGCCACAAATGGCCCTCCCACACACAAACCCACAACATGCAGCCTTGCCTACTCCAAGTCCTCTTCTCCTGGCTTCAGGAGAGCCTTCCCCTTACCTGTACATCATGGGAGTGAATCATCTAGCCCTTTCCCAGAGCTTTTCAGCTACGACAGCTTTCCTCTTTCTGCAAATCCTTTCTTAGACTTCCAATGTGTCAAAATGTTTCATTTCCATTAGCCAAGCCAAATTCTCTCAGCAGAGCCTCCTTCCATGTGCCATGACAACCAGCAGGGACATCGTTCCTGCCTGCTCCCATCTGGCCTGTTCCCAATACGAAACCAATCTGGAGATGTGGCACTGAAGGACATGGGTTAGTGGGCATGGTGTTGATGGCTGGACTGAGTGAACTTGAAGGTCTATTCCAGCCCTAATGATTCCATGAGCAGAGACTGGCAGGGGTTGGAGCTGGATGGTCTTCGAGGTCCCTTCCAACTCAAGTCATTCTTAGACCACAAAAACAGTTGGAAGGGAGAAGCAAATCCTACTTCAAGTTGGGACAAGTTGGGTAGGAGCAGACCACACCAGCACTCCTGTAAAGGGGGAATGGCAGTGCCCAACTTGGAGCTCAGCTCACCACCACCCATCCTCCCCAGTCCGTGGCAATAAGGAGGAGTTCCCCCCATCCTGCCAGGGGGGGAACCCGTAACAACAAGAAATAAA